TGTTGAAAAAATGTGATTTCATAACAAGATGGACCAATAACTTTCCTCAATCTACCTCTTACCTTATGTAGAAGAAGTTTTCCCATTGAAGGAAATCCCTACCTCAATGGTGTTTTGCTTATAGATCTTTCTCTGACTCCCAGCCTCTGTTCCAGAAAATACACTGTAAAGTTTATATAATGTCATTTGGGGTAATTAAAAATCAATTTACTTGCTAAAGACCTTTGCATTCCACTGCATACTAGCTTCTGAATGCTCTACAACAAAAGAGTTCCATGTCAAATTGGTTTGAGAAAAACTGCGTGCTGTATCCCCCTCTGATCGTCACACTGAATATCTGCAATACAGTGTGTTGTGAGGAACCCACCAGCAAAGAAACTTCAACATCTCAGCATTTCCCAGCCTTTTCCTGGCCACAAAACTAGTGGTTTGCTTCATCTGGTTGGTTTAGATTTTACCCATTACACTTGGGAATTCCTTGGAACCAACTTTGACAAACCCTGCTGAGATTAGATGATTAGGCAAAACAGTGTTTATGAAGAATTGAGATGCGTAAGAAAAAGGTGTTTATTGGACAAATAATAATTTTTCCAAACACAATCAGTATTTAAGGCAAATAAATAATTTGAAAATAACTGCAAAGCTTTTTTTTTTTTACAGTGACAATGTAAACTTTATTTTTAATTAAAATGTTGGAAGCATCTTACTTTCCATACAGGCTAAGGTAAAATATTTACTGAAACCTTACTCTAGTTGCTGGTACTTTGCCAAGAAGTTATATTTCCTACAGGGGTGGGGGTGAGGGACTGAAAGGAATACATTTCCTTTTCAGCAGCGGATACTTTCTTTTAACCTCCCAATTGCTCTGTCAGAGTTGCCAAGATTGTCATACTGAGTGGGTCAGAAGTAAAGTGATTTTCTAAAATATCTCTGTAAAATAATTTCCCTCAATTACCTGCTGGAACCAAAGATATAATCACAGGTCATAAATGCTGGCATTCAACAGACATTTGTTGTGATTTTCCACAAGACCAATTAAACCAATTAGCTCATACAGAATTGTAGTAAAGTGAAAGAAAAGGCATGATTGAAATTGAGGTGGAAGGTTCTTTTTCTAACACAGTACGTGACTCAGCAAAAATAGTCATTCTGTCTCTAAAACAACTTCTTTTTCCCTAAGCTTAGAACTACTTCTGCGGTAATGATTGACACCATATGTAGGCTTTCCATTTTATGATGAGAAATATATGTCATTTTACTTTGCTGGATAGTACTTTTGGTTAATGTGTATGTCTTACTAATGAAAGAAAGTGCTATTTCCCAGTGCTGTTGCTAAATGCTTGCAGAATGACAGAGATGAAACCAGTAACTATTATGTACCCAATATTATTACATACCGTTGTCACAAATGGAAGAGAAAAACAGAGAGGAAAGAAAGGAGGGAGGGAGGAGTAGAAGGGAACCAATAAAGGAAATGAATGTTCTAGATCAAAGAGACTTTGGGACTGAAATTTCAACAATAATCCCTTTCCAGCAACCAATATGTAAATTGCTTATACCTGAATTATTAGGTCAATTCTAAGTAATTTCCAAATGTGCTTGTCACTTGCCATTGTTTTATTGAGTCTGGCCTGAATTCTTGGCTTGGCAGCACAGCTTTTGAAGTTAAAAATGTTTTTACCTTCCAACTTCATTCTCTAGTATTGTCTCAGTATTTTGAGTGATCTAAACATTATACTGCCAAAAAAGAATGAGATTTGTCTATTTTTCCCATCACTTATAAATACGATCTTTGCACAAAGCATTATTTCAACCTAGAATCAGCACACAGGAAGAATAAATTTAGGAAGGAAGGGAGAAGGGGTGGAGTTAAAGCCAGATGATATCTTAATGCTATTTTGAGAGTTTTAAACATCTCAGTGCTACTCTCAAATGATGTGGGTGAAAGGGCATTTTGGTACAAAAATTTGGGAGAGAAATTCGGTAAAACCTATTAAACAAAATACATACACATACACGCACACACTTTGATCCAGGAATAACTCTGCTTCCAGAAATTTGTCATGCAGGTAAGTTCATCATGATGTTCAAAGCAGGCAGCATTGTTTATAGTAGCAAAAGATGCTTTAAAAATTAATTGGTAGTTGGCCTGCTAAATAAATGATGCTTCACTCACACAGTGGTGTATTATACATCCATACAAATGAGGTGGATCTATATATGGATATATGGAAGGAGTTCCAAGATATAGTAAATGAAAACAACTAAATGCAGAAAAGTATGAGGAATATTCTCCTGTGTAATAATATATATGTACATACATAGGAATATATGCACTTGCTTTTTCTATGATTAGAAAATTTCTAAGAGGATTCCCTAGACGTATTACCAGTGGTTAACTCTGAAGCATAAAAGGGGGATGGCTCCAGGGTCAGAGACACTTGTTTGCATGTATTTTTGTAGTATTAAATTATTGTCGTGTATTTACATTTTTCATTTTAAAAATCTAGATAATTTTAAAATTTTTATTAAAAAGAGCATTCCAGGACTTGAGACTAAAGATAGTACTGATCTGGGTTGTTTATGGGAAAAGAAGGAGTCTGTAGGATAGGCTTACAAGAACTTCTTATGTAAGCCATCCCAGTTGCTTTTTACATACGCTTGCAATCCAGGTAATACCAATAGAATGGTCAACAAAACAGGGCTCATCAAGAAATGTAACCAGACTCATTCCATGACCATCTAAATACAGACATACAACAGCAGTTATATAGTAGAATAATAGAATACCAGAAATCTAGCTAAACAGCCAGTTTGCTCAGCACTGTGACTTTGACTATCTCACTATAACCGAACAATTGAACTGGCCACCCTTAACCCTTTAATTTGAAGGACATTGTCTATGCAAAAAATGCTTTAAAAATTAAAAATAATGTAAAAATCTCTCTGGATAGGCCCATTATGTTCTTCATTTCAACTAATTCAGAGTGAAATAGAAATCAGGTGAGTATACAGTTGTGTGGACCTGTGCCAGTAGACAAAGCAGATAAATTCAGGGATATTTTTAGAGAGCTCACATTGATAGCGTGGGATCTACGTTGGCTAATTTAGCGGGATAATTGCAAAAATAAAATTTTATATTTGAGAATGCCGATACAGATGAATAGTGGTTCTTCTGAAAAAAAGAAAGAAAAAAATAAAGGCAAATGGTTCCCGGAACTTAGTTACTAATTTTAAAAAGAACATTAGTTTAAATGAAAAGGTGTTGGCGGCCGGTTTGCTCGGCTACTGGCCTTCATTTCATTAAGTTTCTCAGATTGGGATAAGTGAAAATATGAGTAAAGTAATAGTGCTGTTTTTCTCTTGTCACAATTGAGAGAACCTATAATGAAATAATTTGATCTTACTGTAAAGGTTTAATTACAATTCTTAAATGCATAACCCAGCTCAAAGGTAGTTCATTGGTCTTACTAATAAATGTTAATTAAAATAAAGCACTGAAAAAGGGTAGAGGGATAATGTTCAGTAGTTATGTGTGAAAAGCTGGCTTACTTTTAAAAATACGTATGCTGATGTTAGGATCATACAAGAGTGCGATCACTGTTTTCAGAAAACAATTTGTAAGTATTAACAGGACATTCATTTTTCTTCTCCTGTAGAAAGCTAGACTTGCCAGGATCCGGGCTGCCAAAAGTGGAAGTGCAAACGCTTACATGCAGAGCAAACGGAACGGTTTACTCAGTAATCAGCTGCAGGTACCACAGGCACTTCACTTTTCCTTAATGTTCAATTGATTGATGTCATATTGATTTAGCTCTGCTTAACCGTATAATTTTATTGTGGGTAATTATGACAATGGCTACGGAAACAACAAAACTGTCACTTTTTATAACTTGACCCCATACATTCCAGTTGTCTGTAGCAGGTTAGAAACTGGGCTATGAAATCCTGTCAGTGAATCATGATTCTTATTCACATCAGGCAATATTTCTGCTCTCTCACATTATTAACATGGGGAAGGTAGAAATGTTCTATAATTCAAATTTCTAATTCTTTTTTATTTCAAAACTACATATGTTCCTTAAAGTTCATTTGGGTGGGAGGTTTGTGCGGGTGGGTGATACATGTCTCATTTCACTTTTCACTGGAAAAGAAACATCATTCAGTGTTAGGACTGTCACACAGCATGAAATACAATTTGAGAAACTTTGTTTTTACCTGAAAACTTTCCTTTAATATTTAAGATTCTAATCATCTTTACTTCGAAAATAGCTTTTATATAAGGTAAGCATGGTAGTGGCTTGAGGATTTTCTAAGTACTGGGTTAAATTTTATCATCCAAAGATAATGGCTGATGGCTTACAAAGGTAGTTGGTAGTTGAATGAGTAAAAGAGATTTAAATTTTCAATTCAGGGAGGTATGTCTAAAAGGCCAGACTGCTAATTTGATGAAAATGTAAATGCTGATCATCCAACTTAAAAGGTGAGTGCACATTTATTCCTCTTTACTTAAAAAAAATAAAATGTCGCCATTTAATCTCAGAGAATAGGCCTGATCTCTCTGTGGAAATGTGTAGCTGAGGTTCTCGTTGTTTGCAAATAAAATAGAAAGCTCTTCTGTCTTCTCTTTGTTAACAGTCCTCAGAGGATGGGCAGGCCTTTGTTAGCAAATCCTTCTCTAGCTTTGAAACCCAGCACCACCACCTGCTTCACTGCCTGGAAAAAACCACGGTAAGGAGACAGCACAACTGCTTTTCTCTGCCCTCTGACAGTGATTCCATTTGCTTTTCTGCATACTTAATGTTTCTGAGCATGTCTGCATTCCTGGAAAATATGCTAAATAACAAACAAACCCAAAATCCACAATATTTGAAATTACTTTGAATGACTATAGTGACATTTCAACTTGCGAAGTATTTTACGGACTTATTTAAGATGTTTTATCCTTAAGTTGCTATCTTAACTCTAGTTTAAAGTATCAGTTAATGGCAGATGGAAAATTGTCTTCCAATAGTAAGTCCTATAAAATATCATTTCTTTCTGATTCTTTAAATGCTGATCAAGAAAGAAAAAATAATGAAGTTCAAGTGTTCCTGACATCTGGATAAAGAGAATGTATTGATAGTAGTAACAACCATAACAAAAAAAAATAGAGAATAAAGGCACATAAGCACTTCTTTCATTCATAGGTATAATAAGTAGAGATAGATAAGAAAAATTATCCATTCTCACAAGAAAAATGGCACCTGTAATCACTGCTATGCTCCAGGGTGCTGAGCAGTGAGTCTGCATTGCTCCACTTTGAAGCTCTCAGTCAGGCCCAGTTGACTTGAGCGAAGACACCCATTTCTTAGCTAGCTTGTCACTAGAGGTCGCAGATTGTGATGATCGCAGAGCAGAACAAAACGTTTGCCACATGTGATCAGGTCAGCTCACGCACTTATCAGAGATGGTTATTTGTATTCTGAATTCTAATATATTGCCCATTCTTTTTATTTATTTACCAACAGTCATTCAACAAATACGTATTACTTGCCTACTATGAGCCCACCAGTGGGCCAGATACAAGATACACCATGAAATCAAGTGTGGCTCTGTCACCATCAAGCTTCCATTTATGGAACAAAACACAAAGCAGGGCTGTTACTGGAGAAGGGCTCCATGGATGGGGCAAAGAGGGCAGGGCCATGAGGGGACCAGCCAGGCAAGGCTTCCTGGAGGAACTTGAGTTAAGACCTGGAGGGTGACAAGGAGTGAGTTAGGCAAAGAAATGAAGGGGCTGACAGGTCATATAAGTACTTGAAGAAACCCAGAACTTGTCCTAATAGGGAGTGAGAGAATTTGAGGGTGACCAGAAGGAGAGAGGGTAGCACAAGAGAAGACAGAGAGAAAGACAGTGTCCAGATAATGTTAGGCTTTGGAGGCATGTGAACAATTTGATCTTTGTCTCATAGAAATTATTTATGAGTTTTAAAGAGGGTAGTCACATGATTACATTTGCATTTTCAGATAAAGACATAGACAGGTCTAATACCTATTAGGATAACTCTTGGAAAGTAAAATGATACACTAATGATAGAATGTATTTATCCCTTTTTCTTTTATTTTCTTTTTTTCACTATTTTACCATTCAGGACTTTCTTAAAATTAAAAAACTACTCAACACCAACTAATATAGTTTAAATTGAGCTACCTAGAAAAGTATATGATAACCAATAACAGAATAACTTCTGCACTTCCAGTCGCTGATGAGATAAATTAGAATCTCATGCATTCTAACTTGCATTATGTGTGTGAAATATGCATTGTAAGAGAAGAAAACAGATTATAAATCCTTTGTGAACTACTTTTTCTCTAAAATTTAATACTTAACGTGAAATTTTGTCTGATCGTATTACTCTCTGAACTTGAAGCAGTAGAATGTTAAATTTCATTTATTTCAAAATGCTTATCTCAGCAAAGAAATGACAAAATGAGTAACTAAAACAATCTATTTCTTATTAGCCAGTGAATTGCTCCAACTGTTTTATTAATATTTTGGGACGAGGGATGGTTAAGTGGAATTTGGTAGGTGCAACACCTGCCATTATAAGACTATTCCAACCCTCCCCCCAACCCCCCACCACAAAAATAGTAATTAAAGTCATTCTCTAGTAATTCAGACCAAAAATGTTTTCCCTTACACTTCTGGGGTAAAATTCATGCATAGGCATTTTAGGAGGCAATTTTTCACTATACATTTTAAAAGCAAAATTTATACTGTGTTTCTATAAAATATGGTATGTGAAATGATGCCTATTACTGTTTGCTACTGGGCTGGCAGTTAGAAAATAAGTGTGGAAGAACCCTGAGTGCAGACAGATACAATGAACACAGCCAGTGATGTATTATAATGATATGAAAAAGGCCACAAAAGTTCAGTGCTAACACCCTCCAGGTCAAACATAAAGTGACACATTTTGCAGATAATTGTACTTTACTTATTTACCTAATAAGTCATATTTTTCTATATACTGAGGATTTCAAAGAAGCATCTAAAGTAATGGACAGTGTCTTAGGTATCTCATTTTCTAATTAAAAAATGTTTTCAATTCTATGTGAAAATATTTGCTAACACAGAAAGGATAATCTAATTTGGAACATTCTATTAAAATAGTCTCTTTTCCATAACTTCAATCTGTGTAAAAGAATAAAGACAGTGTGAATTTACAAATTCCTTGTGATTATTATCTATATTCATTTTTAAGGATTTTTTCCTTTAATTTATAATTTCAGATTTTACATTTAAATTAATAAATTATATTTCAAGGTAAAGTTAGTCTGTGAATGGATTGCCATCAGCCTGCAGATGCCAATCTCTAGATCTAACTTAATAGACTTTATTTCCACACAAATGACAACAAGAAGTGGTTTTGACATTCTAATCTTTATGAAAATGGTCCTAGTTAACCACCGGATCAAATCTAACTATACCTGGACATATTTGAGTTTTAAAAATAAAACGATGCATTTCCTTTTTTAAAATTAAAAAATGTGTTTCTCTGCTTTCTTCACATTTTCTTACAACTATGGAACAGAACCACGAGTTTGTGGATGAACAAGTCTTTGAAGAAAGCTGCATGGAAGTTGCAACTGTTAATCGTCCTTCAAGTCATAGCCCCTCTCTGTCTTCACAAGGAGTCACCAGCACTTGCTGTTCACGACGACACAAAAAAACTTTCCGCATCCCAAATGCCAACGTATCAGGAAGCCATCGAGGCAGTGTGCAAGAACTCAGTACGATTCAGATCAGATGTGTGGAGAGAACACCTCTATCTAACAGGTACCTGAGATTAACCTGTGCTTGTTCCCAGGGCACTTCTGCAGTCATGTTGCAACCACTAACATCTAAATCCCAGCTCCCAGGGTTTAGAAAGAAACAAAACTTATACTGTAACAAGTAGGAAAATGGATTGACTGGCATATCCATTAAGGGTCAAAAGTATCAGAATTAAAAGAGTAGAAAGAAGAAAAGATCAGGCACACACAAATGTTTTTATCTTTTCAACTCCACAACTTTTTCTCCCTTGAGTAAGGATTTCTATACTCAGGAGCCCCCTATGTAAACTTAAATATCTTAAAATGATAATCAACACTATTATAATGAAATAGATATATGGAATTGAGACCAATATGGTCGAAAATTATTCAACAGCAGCTAAAAATATATCAACACATTCAATGCAACAGTGAACATTAAAACTCCACCAATGCAAATCTTTTTTTATCAATACACAATTTTGATCATAAAGATTTTCTTTGGCCACGTCAAACACGAAAACCTAATACAAAAACAGATAAGTGAAATACTAAAATTGTTTACCTCTGGCTAATGTATGAATAATTTAAGCAAAATTTTCGAATTGATATTTTGCCTTTACTTGTCTTTATTTACGGTTTGTTTTTACAACAAACATACATGTAATAAAAAGTAGTATATTTAAATCATGTCATTAAAAAAATCAATTTCTACCAAAATAATTTTACTTTGCTCTTTAAATTGAACACACATTTTTAGAATGACAGTCTGTAAATTTAGTCCTACTTCTTTGTTGGCATCCAACAATATTTGTTGAAAACCTAGATGAGATTCTGCATTTAGGCTATGTTGATTTATGTAAATTGGATTTCTGTGGGACAAAAATGTTAAAATTTAGAGCAATGAGACTTCTGTCTTTAGGCTATTTTACCTCTGCATTGTTTTACATCCATTACAAACTGAAGTAGAAAATGGAGAAGTGCTTAGAAAGAAAATCTTAGGACATAAACATTTTAATTAAGTTTTCCATGAAAATAAAATAATTAGTTTTAATCTCTGCTTTATATCCTTTTTTCTCCTTTCTCCTTTATCCCCTTCCCCACATAGAGTATAAAATTTATGCATGGAGTATAAAATTTACCACTTAGAAAACCCTGAAGTATTAAATCATAATAGCTAATTTTTTTGGTTCCTTAACATGTGGTCATCACTCAGTTGAGAGCTTTAAGGGAATTATATATCCCCAAACATGAAAATAAAAAGATCCTGTGGTCAAAAAAATTAAGAAATCCATAGGATGTGACCCTCTCATAATCACTTCTCAAACCTTTCGAGGTCCTGTCTTAAAACTATTTTACTTCGCCCAACTCAGCCTGTCCAAATATAACCTAGTCCTCTTTCTTTCTTGCATTTTTGTAGAATATGCTTTGAGAAACACTTGATTGAACCAAATTAAGCTGGCTTTTAGAAATGTATTTAATACTAGTTTACTGACTAATGTTCACCTTAATATATATTAAGATTTGGCATTCAATTATTTTAAATTATGGTAAATTTTCTTAGACATTTAGAATGTCATTTATAAGCATTAAAACATGCATTCCTCAGTTGTATGAAAAAAAATTAGGTAAACAACTTACTTTCTTAAATCTATTCTTTTTCATCAGCCGATCCAGCTTAAATGCCAAAATGGAAGAGTGTGTTAAACTAAACTGTGAACAACCTTATGTGACTACAGCAATAATAAGCATCCCAACACCTCCAGTAACCACACCAGAAGGAGATGACAGGCCAGAGTCTCCTGAATACTCAGGAGGAAATATTGTCAGAGTGTCTGCTTTGTAAGACAATTGGAATAAGATCTAAGAAAATTTGAGCTCTGGCTGTGGAAAGAATTTCAATGTAGAAGAAAGAAGAAACAGTAAACCTTTTGCAGATTAAGGCGGCAAAGCAAGAAGGTTGGTAGTGAAACAAAAAACAAAACTTCCAAACTTGAGGATGTGAATAAAATCACCAAATGGCATTTCTAGACAGAGTTTGACCTGTTATACAGAGGAATATTCTGTGGCCCTTGGACTTTGTGAATGAGCACAATGAAATGCCGCCTATTGATGCTTCTTGTGATCAGAACTCTTTTTTAATAAAATAAATGAAATAAATCTTTGAACATAATGTTCCAGTTGAATGCAAAACAAAAAAATATGGAAAACATTTTGATAAAAATTTTTCCTGTTAAAACCATGAACATTGGCTATGATGAAGATTATTACATATGAAAAAAAAAAAAAACTCATACAACACATTTGTATTGACTGAAGGAAACCATCATAATGCATGCTAGAATTCTTTGGAGCAGTGATCTCAGTTTCCTTATGTTGTCTTCAGAATAGGCATGATAAACTATAATTGTAGAAAGGGGGAATTTCTGTGCACTTACAAAAAGCTGATTGTTCATGTTCCATGGTGGGCTGTGCAAACAAACTCCTTTTAGAACTGCAGTATTTCTCATGGGGATGCTTATTAGTAAACCTAAAGTGTTCAGATAGTTCAGTATTAATTATTGTTTAACCTTGTACCTAGATACTGTTACAACTGCAATAATTCATTGTATACCTGTTGTATCAGGATTCAGGATTTTTTGTTATTGTATTTTCCAGATCTTTATAGATACAGTAAGAGCCACATTCATAGAAAAACTTCTAGTGCGGCCAAGTTTTAGGTAACTTTTTAATCCAAAACTGTTGTGCCATAAATGTTTTTCAGTAATATTCTTTGGTCCAGTGTGTTCCTGTGACAGTGCATTATCTGTTCCTGTATTTCTACAGCACCTTTCTATTGAGTTTATTGTCATCAACGTTTACTGTAGTTCAGATGACTTTCCTACTTTTGTATTCCCCAACAAATTATCTTGTAAGTAGATTATCAGCAATCCCCTTGTCAAAAACTAGAAAAAAAAGGAGTTGACATCTACGAATTATCTCTAACGTCTTTGTTGTTTATGAAAAAGCCCCTATACTGGATATATCACTATGTGTTTCATGAAAAGAGTTGTCTGGGACTAATATCACAGGATCGGTGATCTCAGAATCTTACTTGCTGTATTATTTATTTTACTTTAGATCTTGAATACATTTTGAGAATAACTAATGTGAATTGAAATGTAGAGACAAACTGGAGTGCTTCATGTAGCAATATTTGATGAAAGCATGCTTTCTACTCCATTCAGGAAGGCAGCACAAATTTATCTCAGAAAGCTTCCTGTGTATTGCAAAGTGCAATTTTCTCCACTAAATCAGGAGGACAGGAGTTCGATGATGCAAAATTGATCTCTATGTACATTTAAGTGAAAAGTCTTTATACCTTTTCACCCTTAAAATATATCAGCAGACATGTCTGCACGTGACAGTGTAAAAGAGTTTAATGTCAAATGCAAAGTTTTTGTTCATTCCAAGCCACCACTGTAAGGAATAAAGCTTAGCTTCTGTACATGAAAAGAGTTAATAATTATCCCCCTATTATAGAGATTTTAAAATACTTATCATAATTTATCATGAAAAGGGATTAATCCAAACATTTTCACGTAAAGCCAGAAATTGTTGCTTCCCATTTCTAGAATAGCTTCTAGAACAGTGCTGTGCACACAGTAGATCTTAATAAACATTTGCTGAGTGAAAGTAAGATAAACTCAATTATCTCTTGGGAAGAACTGGCTTAATCCTAGTTTGTCTTTTAAAAAGTTACTAATCTTCCAGCAGCGCGAATATTAACAATTATATTAACACCTGCCTCATGTCACTTTACGCTTCTAGAGCAAATGTCTAGTGAATCTTCTTTGATGGCATTTATTGAAAACTTTTTAAAAAGTAGACTAAGAAAACCACAATCAGGAATACTTACATCTTTTGATTCCCAATGAGAAGTTCTATTTTTCATGTTCTTGATATTACATAAAAGAAAATGAAGTTAGGTTATTTTCGTTGACAATTCTGCGTCCTCTGTTGATTTATCACTTATCCAAAATTATTCATTTCTTTAGACTTTTGGAAAAGAAAAAAAATTTTGATGTTTTAGGTGATTTAAAAATATACTGTGTTGGTGGTGAATGACTATTGATGACTGTGTTAAGTGCATCTGTATCGTAAGTGAAATGTAATTATTTCTGTGTACCATATGGAGTAACTAAGGTCATTGTTTTTGACAATTTTGTTTAAAATTCATATATCTTATTTCAAAGGATAGCATAATACCTGCATTATGCTGGAAAAAAAATAGATCTTTGGAGAATACTTAAATAAAACATGTGCATGCTTGAACAGGACAACATGGTTGACTGCTGCCCTATTTTCTTAAACGTCATTTCTTTCTAAAATCTAGGATGTGCCGCTCTCATAACACACATGTGAGAGAACCCTGTAACACAACTCAAAGAATCTGACAATTGGAAGTAATGCTTAAATCTCATCTAAATGGGTGGAGACAGTAGCTTTCTGACAACAATAGGAATTTAGGCAGAGACTTTTAACAGAAAAGTTAATGGCATTTAAGTAAGGCCAGTCCCTGAACCTTATATACTTCTGAACTACCACTACATATGTTAAGCAAAGAGAAGTTCTAAGATTATAGCTTTGGTCAGAATTCAACTAAATTCTCAATCAAAGGCTTTTTTTCTCTATCTAGGAAAACAGGGTGATTTATTTGTCTAGCTATATGTGTATCCATATTTATTCATAGATTTTATTCATTTTTTTAAAATATGCATATACTGATATTTGCTCTTCAATATCCTAGGGAGGACAAAAAGGAAGAATGTTAAGAGTTTATTAGAAGATGGAAAAAGACAAAGTAAATTACTTAGTATCGAGACCGACTTTAACTAGTGCTATATATGTTCCTCTTGGTGGATAGTCTCTATGTTTTCTTGTTAATTCTTTTCATTTATAGCCCTTGATTTATTGAGGTGTCAATTCTGCATTAACAAGTGCAACACGTCTCCCTATTCCTTCAACTTCGTCACAATGTTGGCTTAGAAATAGCCTCTGAGGAGTTGTTATAATGTCTGCCAGTAACACTGCTCAAAAGAATAAAAAAGGGTTCTTGATATCAAATTGATGACTCCTCAGAGATTCACGAGAGAGGCATCTCCTCTTCCCTACAGTGTTATTAAGGTGTTTGTTTTATTAACTCACAGGTACAGGAATGGTTATTGCTCTTCACTGTACATACTTAATCAGAGATTTCAACACAATTATGTAGGCACGCAGTATTTATTTTTTTTAAATGAAGATTTAAATTGTATCTACACCAGCTGGTTATGTCTGGATAGTAAAACATTCTTTGAAGAGTTTGATTTTTCAATCTAAGGAATTATTAATTGTGAACAGCAAGTTTGCCTAAGACAATTATAAAATGTATTTATTGCAAGAGATTTTTAATTGGACACAATATTAGATCCATATCATACCTTCTAATCATCCTTACTGTCCTCTTTGCCTTTTCCCTCCTTTCACTTCAAGCGCTAATTATTATTTTAGCAGATTATTGTCTCCCTTTCCCTAACTATTATTTTCTCTGGTTTTTCTATGGAAACCATTAGGTTACTTTATGTTCTTTCTACAAACAACTCAATTTATTGAATGCATATGATGGGCCAGACATGGTGATAGGTGCTAAAGAAATAGAGATTAAGAAACCAGATCAAATCCTCAAGGAATTATATAGTAGAAAATAGCTCAAAATACTCTCTGTCTCACACGCTACTCATAATCTTACACTCCAATTTTCTCCTTTCTGCTGTATTTACAGTCACTTTTCTACTTCAATCTCCCGAAAACATCTCTTCAACAGAGGTTACACAAACACGTTGCTCTTTAAAGTACTTTCTAAAATGTTTTCATCACATCATTAAAATCCTCTTTCTGTATGCAATGGTTTCCTTTCTCTGGGGGAGAGCAGGGACAGGGTACATGAGTCCCTAGCTGCCTCGAGAAAGAAAAAGAAACAAGTCAAGATAAAACAAACCAAAAAGGAGGCAGAGCTTCATGTTTATGGTTTGATCATGGGTAAAAAAAAATAAAAACCAAAAAATTTTAAAAAACTAACCTTTCCCCAAGCATCCACTCCACCTTCCCTATTATAGTTGTGGAGAACGTGAAGAAAGTTTTTAAAATAGTTTTGCAGGAGGAGTGACACACAATGCTGCTGTGAATCCTAACACATCTCAAATTAGCTCATCTGATTAATCCTATAAAATATCTGAGAGGATGGGACAAAAGAGCAGTGCGTCTAAAAAGGAAGGTAAGTATCTAATCAAGGGCACTCACCAAAAAGGTGGACCTGGTTGGTCCATATTAATTCCAAAGCATGAGGATGGCTGAAGAAGGATATTGAGTGGATGGGTAACAAAGATTTGTAGAGAGGTTTGGAGGAACCCTGGAAGACAAGAGTAGGAGGTTGGCAAGCAGAGAGGCATCTTTGGGCTTTGATTCTAATCGACGATCTAGCGTTTTTTAGTTTGGTTTAGATTAATTTAATTCCTTTGTTATAGCTACAAATTGCAACACCAAAATATATTTATCTTAACCTATTACCTGTTTTTAATAGTTACGCACCCATAGATTGCTCAGAGATCTCCTAGACTCCCTGCACAACAGAGAACAGAACCCATAAAGTAGTAGAATAAGCAAGTGGCACTAAGAAATGTGCAAGGGAGTTGAAAGAGCCAAGACTGAATGGACCTCAAATTGGGTAGATGGATTCATTAAATTTCCCAAAGACACTTTCTTGAGGAAGCAGAAGATTTTATATCAGAGGACATAATTTCAAAAGTAACAATTGTCATGTGCATCACAATTTTACGTAGGAATCAGTCTGAATTTGTATTATCTCTGTTCCCAGCTAACCTGATAAAAAAATCAATGTAAAACCACAGAAGTAAAATTGCAATGAACCATTTCAATATACAGCTTCTTTCTTCAATAGATTCAGTGAGTGCTAAATAATGATGATTATAACAATCATGCAAAGATAACAGTAATAATGACTGCTAACTTCATTGGGTCTCAAATATGTGGCAGGCACTGTGCTAATGACTTCACATGTACCAATCCATTAGGTAATTGTATTAGCCATATGCTCTGTTGAGAAAACTTTTAACACTGAAAATTTGGAGTCTGGATTCTCCTAATTTAGCTAATATAAAATTTTAAATTAAATCATGTATTTCTGTGATAGAATTCTATTGTGTAGAATATTGATGTTATTTCTTTTTTTAAACTAAAATAGAAATTAAAGGAAATGAGGGAGGGAATGCAGAGGAAAGCCTGGTTATGTCCACACTACTGTCCTTATCAAAGACAGTCAATTTTTCTCCCCATTTTCTTTGGGCCAACATTTTTTCCTGTCTTGAAAAGTGCACTGATAATAACTGCTTCTTGATTGACTATTGGTATATTAAAATACAATAAAATCTACCAAAGAAATATATTACTGTCCTAATTGACAAAGATTTTTCCAACAACTCCATGTCAGTACAGTATACACATTTAGTTAATTTTCCAGGAACAGAGATAATTATGTGTTAGAGCATCTACTGTTTCTCATTTGCTCCCTTTTTTGAAAAAGATCTGCCAAAATTTTCAAGGTTGTTTATCAGGGCAGTGGTTATAGCCTGCAGCATCTAATTGGCCCACAGTCCAAGTCTTGGAGGCTAATGATAATGAAACAGAAATATTTTGGAATTAATATCAATAACCACAATTCCCATCCTTCATTATCTTTTGTATCTTCCTAAATTCTTGCAGGCAAAAATTTGAGAGGATGACAGCAAAGTGCCTATTGGCATTTAATAACACTTGCAAAACAAGGTGCAGAGATATTCAGATAGGCAAAATAACTGCATAATTCAGTATCCCAGATTAATATTATGCAATTAAAAATGTTCTTGGATTTTTCCATCCTCACAAAAAATTCCAAAATTTTTCTCTAGGTCGTTGATATTTTTTATTTGTTTCTCATAAAATAAAAAGCTTCAATAAAGGTGTAAACACAGACATTTGATTTATTCAGAACTGTAGAAAATTTAATGTACCATTTAAAATGGTACTTGGGCTATAACTACTTGCCATAAAACTTCTTCTTTGGGTTTTATCCTTTGCTTGTTTTATGTTCCAAAATAACACTGGCCTATTAATAATATCTCTTTACCTTCCACTTCAATCTTTCCCTTCCTTCTTCTCAAATGGTAAATGCATTATTCATTTTAAGTATTAATATTGTGTCCAAAACTTTCTTTCCATGAAAAATTAAGGTGCAATCTTGATTAAAAAGATATGTATGGGAAAATTAATATTATGTATGGCTTACTGCTGTCAAACCCTGATAACAAATTATAAAAATTTGGTGAGGTAAATTATAGATTTGTAAAATTATAAAAATTATATTATAAAATAATAAAATTTCCCCAAATTATCATAGGGAAGGATAAAAATG